AGAGGTTCAGAAAAAATGTTTTGAGAAATATGAGGGAGAAGACACTTTCAGCTGGGGAGTTTGGAAAGAGAGTCAGAGAAAACTAATTAGAACAGATGGCACCAGAGTTGGCCTTGAAGGAAGGAGAGGAAAGATGTCAACATATGGAAATGGAGAGGGTGCATACCAGGCACAGGGAATGGTGTAAGCATAAGCATTGCAAAAGAAGTCAAGAGAAGAACAGGGGATGGAGTTTGATATCCAGTTTGATAGGAACATAGAGTATATGATAGGGAGTAGTTTGAAATGAGGCTGGAAACATTGGTTGAAGCCAGATTATACAGGGACTTGATAGTTAACATCAGGAATTTATGTTTGTTAGGTAAGTGATATGGAGCCACTGAAGGTTTTGGAGAAGAAGGAGTGAATGTGATATCACAGAGTGGTACATTAGGAAACTTATTTGAGTAGTAGTGTGGAGGATTGATGGGAGAGAGGCAGAAAGATAGATAGTAGTAGACTAATATGATAGTCTAGGTGAAAAAACCAAGGGAGGTTCAGTGGAAAGGAGGAGAGGAAGATGAGGATGGATAGAAGAGATATGCATTGATAGATATGATAGGACTTGTTTGAGATTATGTGGCAAGAGAGAGAGGGAAGAGTCAAAGGTAACTCTGAGGTTATTAACTCATGTGATTGGTATCATCAGTGGAAATAGTAAAGGTAGGTAGAAGGGGTGTGTTTGAGAGGAAAAGATGAATCTGATTGTGGAATTTGAGGGGCTGGTGAAACACTTAATTGTAGATATCCAGCAGGCAACTGGAAATATGGAATTGGAAGCCTGAGGAGAAGTTGGGATAGAGATATAGATTTGGGAGACATCCATGTCAGGTTGATAATTGAAGCCTTGATAGTCAATGACATCAAGTGGGAGAGTCTAAAGAAAGAAGGGGAATCATTGAAGGACAGAACCTTGCTAGATACCAAAGTTTAAGGGCTGGGAATAGAATGGGTAGCCATCTAAGAGGATAGAGAAGGAATGGTGGGAGAAGAAAAGGAATGAAAATTTTGTGCCCTGGAAGATCGGGAAGACGTGACTTACCTAGACTGTCCATCCACATACACTACCCCTGCGCCCAGCAGCTTATCTAAATCTTACCCCATCCTTCAATACCCAACTCAAATCCTAGCACCTTTTTAAAGACTTCTTTACTGAAATAAAAGAGATTTCTCTTTCCCCTGAACTCCTGTCAACATGCTTAAACATCAAACAAAACATTCTCTATTATATTTTCATTTATACATTCTTATCTTATATAGATAAATAGACACATCTTATAATTTGATTCTAAACAACTTCAGTATAAGGACTAGGTTATGTAACTTTCTTGTATCATCATCATCACAGCTAACATTTATATAGTGCTTTTATAGATACAAAATGCTTTAAATATGTGACCTCATTTGATCTTTGTATCTCTTATATCACCTAGGAAAATGCTTTGCTCTTAGTGGGTATTTAATAAATAAAGACTGATTATTTCACCTTGTATTCATTTGACTTCCAAATGTACATTCTCAGTGCCTGATTTCTTATACTTTATCTCTAGGTCAAATATCTCCACTTGCTTATAAGATATTTCCATTTAAATGTGTCAATAATTCCTGAAAAATACATAAAATTGTAGCCTTTAGCTACTTAACTAGCTAACTATTGATTGATCTCTAAAGGCTTTTTTTTTTGGTGAGGTAATCAGGGTTAAATGACTTGCCTAGGGTCACACAGCTAGTAAGTATCATGTGTCTGAGGCTGGATTTGAACGTAGGTCCTCCTGACAACAGATCCAGTGCTCTATCCATTTTGCCACCTCGCTGCCCCATTTTTTTAAAAAAAATATTTGCCTCTCAACCACCATATTTATTTATTTTAGCTAGGCAATGAGGTTAAGGGACTTGCCCAGAATCACACAGATAGTGTCAAGTGTCTGAGGCCGAATTTGAACTCAGGTCCTCCTGACTCCAGGGCTGGTGCTCTATCCACTGTGCCACCTAGCTGCCCCTGATTTCTAAAGTTTCATTTGGCTCTCTGAAGATGATATTTTGTGATACTACTGGTATTATCTTATTCTCAGATCTCTTAGCTTGTAAATTCTGGATCATTACTTTTGCCTCCTCAGATTCAATCTATTACCAAGTCCTGTAAACCCCTTATCAGTATCTCTTAGCTTTGGTCTTTCCCTCCTATTTTAGTAACCATCACCATCCAGGCACTTTCACCTTATATTAGAACTACCATAGTAACCCCATAATTGGCCTCCCTGCCTTCTCACTTCCCCAATCTACCTTGTTACTAATTGGCATTATTATCTTCACCAACTATCTTCTGAAAATTTAATTTATTTTTTGTTACATTTTAAGTTTCAAACTGTCTCCTCTCCCCACCCTGCACTATAGAAAGATACCATTTGACACAAATACACACATATTACTTGCATGTATATGCATATACATATATATGTAAAAACATACTATGGATACTTCTATTTATCAATTTTTTCTCTGGCGGTAGATAGCATCTTTCTTCATGGGTCTTTTGTAGTTGATGTGAATATTCATAACAGAATAGCTTAGTCATTCACAGTTCTTCAAACAGTATTACTATTCCTCTGTACAATATTCTCTTGATTCTACTCATTTCACTCTTCATTATTTCATGCAAGTTTTTTCATGGTTTTCTAAAACCAACGTGCTTATCATTTCTTTTTTTAAAATTAATTACTTAATTAATTTTTAGTTTTCAGCATTCACTTCCATAAGATTTTGAGTTCTAAATTTTCTCCCCCTCCCTTCCCTCCCCTCTCCCCAAGACAGCATGCAATCTCATATAGACTCTACATGTACATTCATATTAAACGTATTTTCACATTAGGCATGTTGTAAAGAAGAATTAGAACCAATAGGAGGAACCACAAGAAAGAAGAAACAAAAAAAAAAAAGAAAGCAAATGGTATGCTTCGATCTACATTCAGACTCTATAGTTCTTTCTCTGGATGTGGATAACATTTTCCATCACGAGACTTTTGGAGATGTCTTAGGTCTTTGCATTGCCGAGAAGAGCTAAGTCTATCAAACTTAATCATCACACAATGTTGCTGTTACTGTGGACAGTCTTCTCCTGGTTCTGCTCACTTCATGAAGCATTAGTCCATATAAGTCTTTCCAGGTTTTTTTTAAATCCGCCTGCTCATCATTTCTTATGGAACGGTAGTATTCCATTACATTCATATACCACAGCTTGTTCAGTCATTCTCTGATTGATGGGCATCCCCTCAATGTCAAGTTCTTTGCTCCCACAAAGAAAGCTGCTGTAAATATTTTAGAACATATAGGTTCTTCTTCTTTTTTCCAGATCACCTTGGGAAACAGACCTAGAAGTGGTATTGCTGGGTCAAAGGGTATACAGTTTTATTACTCTTTAACCATCTTTTTTTTTTCATCAAGTCACTCCCTACTCTTGATAACGCCACATAAATGAAACATTGCTATATTACCAAATTCATGCACTTGTGACAGGTCCGTCAAGATCTTCCCAGCTTACCACACCCAGAGGCAAGATGGTACAGTGGAAAGAACACAGGCTTCAGATCAGAGGACCCAGGTTCATGTTCTGCCTGTTACTACCTGTACGATTTTAGGCAAGTTAGTTAATCTCTGTCTGGACTTATGTTTCCTCATTTAGATGGTCTCAGAGGCCCCTTCTAGCTCTAAATCTAGGATCATATGATCCCATATGACATTTAGTTGCATTCCTATATGGCTTTCTAACCCAATGAAACAAATTAAAGGCTGCCCTCCTGCCTTTGTCTAATAATTGAATGCCTTCTTCCCTCTTTCTTGTCAGCTCCTCATTCCTTTCAAACCTGGCTTGAAATTTACCTGTCCCAGGAAGTTTTCCTTGATTAAGCCCAAACCAGTTCCTTTACTCTTCATCAATTTAGTACTTCCTTCATTACTCATTTGCAATCATTTAACTGTTGCTTTTTGTGTTTTCTTCATGAGTGTATCTTGTACAATCTGAGTTAGATTATATACCTTTTAAAGGCAGAGACTGTATTTTTAACCATTTCATATTCACCTCTAGTTTCTTTTTTTTTAATTTAATTTTTTTGGGGGGGCGAGGCAATCAGGGTTAAGTGATTTGCCCAAGGTCACACAGCTAGTAAGTGTTAAATGTCTGAGGCCAGATTTGAACTCAGGTCTTCCTGACTCCAAGGCCAGAGCTCTATCCACTGCGCCACCTAACTGCCCCTTAATTTTAATTTTAAAAATGATCATTTATTTTTATTATCCTTGTCTTTTTTAAATTTTGAGTTGCAAATTCTCTGTCTCCCTCCCACCAACCGAGAAGGTAAGCAATATATTGATTACACATGTGAAATCATGCAGAACATATTTCCTTATTAGCCATATTTGAAAATAAACCAAGAAAATAAAGTGAGAAAATTATACTTCAATTTGCATTCAGAGTTCATTTGTTCTCTCTCTGGTCACCTCTAGTTTCAATCATTGTTACATTGTATGATGCAACTCTTACCTTGAGTTGTAAGTGACCTTGAAGATCATCTAATCCAACCATGTTCAGCATCTGGTTCAGGGTTCTTCATATTTATTAAAACCCAGTAATTGTTGTTGACATAAATATTCTGCCTCTATTCTTGGCTTGAGCCTGAGTTGAAAATTATCTTTTTTAAAATGTATATAATGTATATGATGATGAAAACATAGTTATTCTAAGTAACTATTTTTTGGCATATCCTATTTTAAGAATGTGGATTAAATACATAATTTATCTTTGTAAATGTTATCTTTCTTAACAACTGTACTTGTAAAATGTTTATATGTAGACTTTTTGAAGAAAGAGAAAAATCAGTATACGTGGAGATGTTCAGGTATAACTCCTAAGGCAAGAGCATTTACTTCACAGTGGGTAATGTATCCTTTTTTCTTTCTCTTTTTAACAGAAAATTGGTTTGGGGGAATCAAGATACTATCAGACCTTTATCTTTTAATGCTTTGAATGCGAAGCTGACTAAAAGAGTTGAACGACTCGCAGAACCCAAGAAGATCTCCAAACTACACGTACCCAACAGGTTTGGCTTATGGCCTATTTGTTTGTTTCATTGCAACACCACAGGATGCATGAATGGAGCACTCGTTCTCTAAAACTCACCTGCAGACAGTGTGACTAGTCTTAATGGCATAAGGAGGAGGGCGTGCCTTGTCTCCAGTGTTTAGCTGCAATCCAACCTCTTTACAACCAGGCATGATACATTGCCTTCTGCATAGAACAGGCAATGCTTGTAAATATTTGCTGAGTAAATAAAAAAGGGACTAGGACATACTATTAGTTATTTCAGTTTTTACTTGGGCAATTGTTATGTTTTGGGGGACATAGCTAGGTATGGAACATGTACAAATCTCTTTTTTGTGTATATTTAACACTTATCAACAAGTACATCCTGAGATAACAAAGAACAAGGAAGTGATTGTATTATAAAACTGCAAAATTCTCATATGTACAAGGATTTTTTTTATAAAAAATATATCTATTAAGTTTAAGAAGGTAGTAAGAAAATTGTTCTATTTGTGTCCTCTTCTGTACTTCTTTTCTGTGTATTTGAAATGTTTTATTAATGCTTTTAAGATTTCTATCATGCCCATTCGTCCAACTCCCCTTCTTCCAATTTATGGAATAAAAAAAATACGTTTATTACACATTTACTATGACCAAAGCATTGTGCTAAGTGGGGGACACAAATGGGAATATAAATAGAAAATAGATGGGAATATAAATAGAAAAGTCAGGTAGTCCCCATCCTCAAGGAGCTCACATTCTAATGAGAGAGACAGCACACAGGGAAGGTTTCAGCCACAAATCAGAGAGGAAAGCCTGTGGTCCTTAGGGTGTTGTTGCGAAGCGGATGGTAAAATGCCTCTTCTTTAGACATCACTTCCACTGATAAAATCACAACAGTTTCTGATGTTGAACAATTTGACAAGGCAAAACTTAGACAAAACTTTGGTTACCAGAACTTCATTTTCTGGGTCTTCAGTAAATGTGACTATAATACCAGGTTGTATCTTCATAGGCATTGCTTCCCAGGATGCTCTCTGTGAACACTGGGATGGAAACTTCTCTATTCCTTTTTTTCCCCACGATTTTTGGGGGAGGCAATTGGGATTAAGTGACTTGCCCAGGGTCACACAGCTAGCAAGTGTTAAGTGTCTGAGGCTGGATTTAAACTCAGGACCTCCTGACTCCTAGGCCAGAGTTCTATCCACTGCACCACTTAGCTGCCCTGAAACATTGCTATTTCTAAGGCTTTGGGGTTTATGGTACTGAGCTACGTCCATTGTGGGCTGAGAGGAGACAGCAGTCCTAGTGGTGGTGGGTAATGGTTTGACTTGCCTGGCACATTCTGCTTCCTGTGTCTCCCTCAGGGTGCCTTGCTGCTTCAATTTTATATAAATGAAATTATCCATTTTAGCTTCCATGATCATCTTTCTCTTTTATATAAATAAGAATTCTTCTATCTATAATTGTGAACGGTATCTTTTCTTTGGCCTCTAACTTTTTTTTTATTATACAACCCTTTATATCTAGATCATGTATCCATTTGGAGTTTATTTTGGTATATGACATAAAGTGTTAGTCTAAAGTCAATTTCTACAGACTTCTTTCTAATATTTCTGGTATTTTTGTCAGGGAGTTATTACCCCATAAGTTGGTGTTCTTGAGTTAATTTTATTTTTTTAATTAATTTATTTTGATTTATCAACAAGCACTTTCATATGCTTTTGAGTTTAAAATTTTTCTCCCCCTTCCTCCGCACCACCCTCCCCAAGACAGCACACAATCTGATATAGGCTATACATTTACATTCATATTAAGCATATTTTCACATTAGTGATGTTGTAAGTAAGAATTGTTCTTGAGTTAATTGACCAGTGTAATGTTATGTTTGATTGCTTTTGGGTCTTAACTGCCCTGCTATACTGAGCAACTTTTCTCCTTTTTAACTAGTATCAAAATCAGTATTTTTTTGGCTTTATAGTATAGCTTGAGATCTGATTGTGCTAGATTCTTGTCATACCCACTTGTTTTCATTATAGCCCTTGACATTCTTGCTCTTTTATTATTCCAGATAAATTTTGTTCTTGTTTCGTCTAGATCTATAAAATACCCTTTTAGTAGTTTGGTTTGTATGGTACTAAACCTATATACAGATATCTATAACAATTGTTATAAAGGGATCCCTCTATAATTAAAGGGTAGCTGAGTAGCATAGTGGATAGAATGCTGGGCTTGGAGTCAGAAAACTCATCTTCTGAGTTCAAATCTAGCCTCAGACACTTACTAGCTGTGTGACCCTGGGCAAGTCACTTGACCCTGTTTGCTTCAGTTTCCTCATCTGTCAAATGAACTGGAGAAGGAAATGGCAAACCACTCCAGTCAGTATCTTTGCCAAGAAAACCCCACATGGGGTCACAAAGAATCAGACATGACTAAGAAACGACTGAACAGCAACAAAAGTTATAGTTGGATGATGATTTAATACTGAACTCCAGAGACTGAGATTAGAACACAACAACTTTCTGGCTATTATGTGCTGATGAAAGGTTTAGAATGGGCCATGCAAGATTTGTGTGTGTGTGTGTGAGTGTGTGTCACAGAGAGAGAGAGAGAGAGAGAGAGAGAGAGAGAGAGAGAGAGAGAGAGAGAAGCTCATTTTGAATGTTTTTTGTAATTATTTTAACATATGTTCTTTGTATAGGGCCTTCTTTTGAAATAGATTTCTGTTTCTGCTCATACTTTTTACTTCTTAAGTGACTGCCTGGTTTTTGGGTCAGCTGTATTCTGAAAATTCTTCTATTCTGAGAAAGAATGAAATTGAAGCCATAACATCTGCTTTATTTTTCTTTTGAGACAATCTCAATGTATACTTGTGGAAAGAGGACTGTTTCTCTTTAAGGTAATTGATTTTAAAATACACGTTGATCATTTTCAGTGACCACATTAGCTTTCTCCACTTTAGAAAAACAAGTGAAGGTTGCAAATTTTTATAGTTCTGGGGCTATTCTTAATTTTTTTCCCTCAGTTCCCAAGGCAATTGTAAAGTGCTTTGTAAATTTCAAAGTGCTATGTAAATGTGAACTATTTAAGAGAGAGAATAATATCTTTTATTGACCTACTTTGGATGCCAAAAATTTTTCTTTCCCATTTGTTATGGGTCAGAATTTTGATGGAAATTGGGGAGGTGTAAAAATCAATCCCTACCCCTCTACCCCACCCTCCCCTCCCCCAACACACACACACTCCTACCATACCAGCCTAGGACTTTTACAAAAAACTCGTCCTCTCCCCCACCCCACTGATTGATTGATTTGGGACCCAGCTAGAGGCCGTTTGGGCAAGAGGAGTGTAGTTTTTAGGACCCTCTCACCACCATCTTTTATTTGCTTTTATCTTTTGGACTTTTTTTTAACCATCTTCAGAATTGCTTTTACCTGAAGACATTGGACTATGATTTTAGTAAAAGATTATCTGTTCATCCTCTGGTTCTGACTTTTCCATTGTACCAGATGTAGGATAGCGACCCCAACATTTTAAAAAAATTATTTCTTCATTCAAGAGGTATTAATTATTGAGTATGTGGCCAGCCTTGTATGAGACACTATAAGGAAGCAACAAGATTTGTGACATAACGCTTCCCTTTAAAGAAACAGTCTCTTCAGAGAGATTCATGCACATAGGACAAGTTAAACAGAAATATAAGGCAGTACACGGTTAAGTGCCAAAATGAGTAACAGAGATAGTGCTAAAGGATTTAAGAGGAAGAAGAGTTCCTCCTTCCTCTGGGATGGCGAGTTAATAGAAGGATTCTCAGTAAGGTACAGACTGGATTGCACGGAGGCTGAGCTCTCTTCGATTCTGAGATTCTTTGATTCTGTGAAGGAAGAATTTGGCCTGGTCCTTGAAGTATTTGGAAAGTCAGAGAGAAGGGTGTTCCAGGTAGGAGAAGGCTACGGAGGTGAACTGAGGAAGGCATTTTCAGAGGCAAAAAGACCAGCATGGCCCAGGTAGAGGATTTGTGGTGGAGACTAGTGGTGAGGTCTATTTTCCTATGTTCTTTTCTCTGTGTAACCTCCTCTCACCAGCCCAGCCCAGTCTAGACGGAGCAGTCCTCCAGACTGCCTCAGCACATGTGTCTGTTCTGCCCAGTTGGTTGTAGGTCTGCACAGTCGAAGGTATTATCATCGCATGTTCACTTATACATTTTTCATTCCTTGCCCTCTGTCCTCTGAGGCTTAGGAGTTAAACAGTCTGATTATCTCATTAAAGTATTGCACACTATGGTTGTTAGCTCTCCCAAACATTTTGTGTGTCTTTTCAAAAATTAGGAACTTAAACAACTTATCAAAGTACTTAATGAACATTCAACTCTGTTACTTCAAATCTTTATTGCTCTTCTTGCTAATGCTCATTTATACATTTTTACGTAATCGTAATATGTGCAGGCCACCATTTGTGTTCTGTTCAGCTGTATTGTTCCATTATTTCCCATAAACATTTCCATGTGTGACCCTGGGCAAGTTACTTAATTTTTGTTTGCCTCAGTTTCCTCATCTGTAAAATGGGAATAATAATATCTACTTCTCAGGGTTGTTGTGAGTATCAATTGAGATAATAAAAGTAAAGCACTAGCACAGTGCCTGGCACATAGTAAGTACTATATAAATGTCAGTTATTATTATTATTATTATTATTATTATTATTAGTATCATCATCATTGGTCTGGAAATGATAGGAAGGAATAAGGAGCAGGTTGACTCCCTCCCTCTGGCTACTGTCTCAGGGGTATAAGAGGAGACTGAACTGAAGAGGATGGCCAGGAATTCCATAGCTTCTGGAGAGAGTTAGGTTTCTGTGAGCACCAGAAGATGGAAAGGATATGACACAAAATGTTCTAGAATGAAAGGGAGCTTAATAATAGAGATTGGGTTCTTGAGTCTACAGTGATCTAGGAAGACAAAAGAGAAGATGGACTATAAAAGGGTAGGGTTGAGATGGCTAAGCATATAATGCTGG